CTTGAGATCCAGCCCTGTGTCAGGCTCCCAGCAACATGGGGAGTCTCCTTCTCCCTCTTCCTCTGTCCCTCTGCCTGCTTGTGCCAATTAATAAATAAAATCTTAAAAAAAAAAGCCCCAGCACTGTGCCTAGTACATAATAGGGAATTAAGATTTTTGAAAATTAAATTCTCTCTTTTTTTTTTTAACCTTTGAATGACTTTTAGCGCCCTTCACCGAGGCTAGGAGCTGTGAATACCTAATAATACAGTACACATCTATAGGGGATTCTAGTCAAGGGCAGGCAGCATATCTTGGTGGTTGAGAGCATGCCTTCCAGAACCATATTGCCTGGCTTCATACTCCAATCTGCCTCCTACTAATCATGTCACCTTGAGCAAGTTCCTTGACTGCTCTGTGCCTTAGTTTCTCACCTATAAAATGGGGATAACCATAGTAACCATCTCATAGACCTGTGAGAATTAAATTTTAATAATGTATGTAAAGTGCTTGGAACAGTGCCTGGTACAATAAGTGTTGACTGTTATTATTGTGATTATGATCACAATTATTGTCATTATTATTCCAATAAATTGGTGGAGAGTTTCCTGTTCCCTGCTCTCCCTTATAGCCCAGAACTTCTTGTGGGGGGGGGGTGTGCCACTGTTGAGAAATATCTGATTTGGTAGAACAAGGGTTATGGCCAAACATATACAAATTAGTAAATTTAATCCAAGGTAATGAAGCTTGCATGAGGATAAAACAAAGGCTCAATAAAGGCTCCAACAGAAGAACTGGCATTTATCCCCCAGACTTTAGACCCCTGAAGCCTTTTAGTACTCCTTTCTTCCCTGGAAAATGGTGGCAGCAAGAAAATATTTCCAAATCCAGATACTAGAAGAAGAAAAATACTACAACAATTATAAGCAAATGGGGAAAGTTGATATTTGCATACTTTCCATTCAGTGAAATGGATCCTCCCCTGTTCTCTTTCTCCAGGCTCTCATTACTTGTTATCTGGTCTGTTCCAACCCACTTGAAGCAGGTTGTCTTCTCCAGTTCGCGTTACAGGGACTTCAGCTGGGTGCATAGCAGTGATTCTCAACTTTGGTTACACATCGGAATTCTGAGATTCTGTGTTTCTAACAAACTCTCAGGAGCTGCAGATTTTGCTGGACTACTGACCACACTCTGAGTAACAAGGGCTTGGAGAACATGGTAACATTATATCCCCTTGCCCAATAACATCAGAGGCTTCCTGTTACCCACATCATAAAATGCCTCAGCCTGGCATCTCAGGCTGGCATCAGAGTCACTTAAGGTCCTCTGATAGCAGTGGTTCTTAAATGTGACTAGTATCTGAATGACCTGTGGGTTGTGTTTTTAAAAGATCTGTATTCCTGGCCCCCACATTAAGCCTGCTAAATTATGCTCTTCAAGATACAGCCTACAAGGGCATTTGGAAGACACATCCTAAATGGTGTAGAAGATCAGCAAGGTTTAGGCCCCAATCGTTTCCAATACACTTTTCCAGGCTCATTTCCCATTCATCCAACCATCGAACATCCATCACATCTGCCTCCTACCAGGTATTAGAAAAAACAAAGATGAAAACAGTTTGATCCTGGGACGCCTGGGTGGCTCAGTTGGTTAAGCGGCTGCCTTGGGCTCAGGTCATGATCCCAGCGTCCTGGGATCGAGTCCCACATCGGGCTCCTTGCTCGGCAGGGAGCCTGCTTCTCCCTCTGCCTCTGCCTACCACTCTGTCTGCCTGTGCTCATGCTCTCTCTCTCTCTCTCTCTCTCTAACAAATAAATAAATAAAATCTTTAAAAAAAACAGTTTGATCCTTACTCATGAGAGATTGGCAAGATAAATGTCAAAACTAGATTATTAACTACTCTCCAGCCATGGTGTAAATGCTCACATCCCTACCTAACGACTTCTCTTTTTAAGACTGTCTGGGCCCCTCAGCATCCCATTGTCACCCATCCTAATAAACGAATCCAGATACCCTCTTTACTCCATGTGAGCCTCCATACTTGTTCGGTCATTTCTTCCAGCTGGCTTTCCTTGGTACTAAAATAGAGCTCAAAGAGGAGAAAGGAATTACCGGAAGTGTCACCAACCACAATAATTAACATTTTTTTAAAGATTTTATTTATTTATTTGACAGAGATCACAAGTAGTCAGAAAGGCAGGCGGCGGGGGTGGGGGTTGGGGAGACGGCTCCCCACTGAGCAGAGAGCCCGATGTGGGGCTCGATCCCAGGACCCTGGGATCATGACCCCAGCGGAAGGCAGAGGCTTTAACCCACTGAGCCACCCAAGCGCCCCCACAATAATTAACATTTATATAATGACTTCTTTGGGCCCGCCATTGTTCTAAGCAGTTTACATTGGTAAAGCGTGTAAAATTCTCACAACAGCCTTATAAGATGGCTATTACTACTATCCCGGTTTTGGGTTTGAGAAAACCGAGGCACAGAGAAGTTAAGCAACTTGCCCAAAGACACAGAGTCAGTAACCAAGCCAGGTTTATTTTTGTCTTATATTCTACCGCCAAGTTGGTGACAGGGCTGTCAGGAAAAGGACTAATTTCTAATTCCCAGGCCTAAGCCCTTTCTGGCAAATCAGTGATTGGTGTGCTGGTTTCCCAACTGAGACTCAAGCGTGAGGGCAGCGATGCGGTCTTTTATCTCCCACAGTGCCTAGTAGGGGTGCGAGCCCTCAGTTACTGGAAGGGGACGGGGGACTGGATGGATAATTATTCAAACAAACAAACACGCAAACAAGGGAGGCAGCCTGCGGGTCTCACGTGACCACTAGGTCACACGCCGCTATCTCCCCCCACTCCAGCCCGGAGCGCTGGAGGAGGACCCTCTGGCTCCCTTTAGGGACCTCCCCCGTCCAGCTCGGGTTCTGCGCTCCGTCCTCCCAGCCACAAGGTGCCCCCAGACCCCCGGCTCCTCTTCCGCCGCCGTCAGAGCATCGTTCTCTCTCCCTCTCTCCGCCGCTTCCTGCTCCGGGGATCCGCGCTCTGAGCTCTGGGGCCGAGGCGCCCGAGGCTTCCCGGGGCGCTCCGCCAGGTAACAACGCGGCGCGAACGGCCGCACTCCGGCCGCTGGGCTGGGTTCGGGGCGAGGACGGCCCGGTCCGCCCGGCCCACTGGCGGGGAAGGAGGCGTGCAGATGGCCCCGCCTGGCCGCCTAGGAGGGGCCGGGGTGGGGGTGGGGCTCTTCCTGCCCGGGGGCGCGGGAGGTCTTGCCACTGGGGGCTCGGTGGGCGGGAGGCGGGAGGTCCGCACAGCACCGTGGTCCGCGGGCGGTGGGCGAGTCGGAGGGAGCGGCGCTCGCGGTGCCCGCGGGGCGCCCGGGTTGCAGCTCGCCCCAGCCACGCCTGCTCCGCGGCCGGGAGCCAGGTGGGCCCGCCCAGCGCTCCTCCTCCCGAATCTGGCCCTGGAACGGGAGGAGCAAGGACAGGAGCTTTGGAATTCTGAGCCGGATCGGCCACCCCAATACCTTCCCGTTCTTTTACCCAAAAGTGGAAAAAAATAAATAAATAAAAAAGAAAGAAAAGAAAAAGAAAGAAAGAAAAAAAAGCGGAAATCCAGAGATGGAGTGACTTTCCCAAGGTCACAGACTTGTATCTGCCCTTTACAAATGTCTATTCTTTTGTTCAGATGTTTGTAAATAGACTACTGTTTCCTCTGTTCTGCCAGGGAATTAGGATTCAGGGAAGAGGGCTCTAAAAATACTAATCAGCAGATCCAAATGAGCTGATCCGTATTACTGGCCGGTGACCCTGGCATTTACAAGGAAATAAACGAGAACGGTTCTTTTCACTCTGGGTACTTTGTATTTCTGGCCCTTGCTCTGGAAAATTGGCCTAGATGTTTTACAAAATTTATCTCAGAACTCCCTTGTCAGAACTGGGCCGGATTAGAATTTTCAATCCTCTTTTCTTCTCTCTCTCGTTTTCCTCTTTTATTTATTTATTTTTTAAATGGAGGCTCAAGAGGTGAAAGTGATTTGCTCATACTTTTATGCGTACTTAGGGGCACAGACAGAATTGGAACTCAGGACTGTGATTGATACCTGCTGTTTTCTTGAATAGAAAGCTGATTTCAGATGAACGCTGTGCAGAACTTGACCTTGGTAAAGCCCTCTGGATAGCATTCTGGGGAGTGGTTTGTGTATTGAAGTGTGTTGGTCCAGGGATACTATTTCACATGTCAGAATAGGGTTAAGCAATAAGGGTAGCCATGCAGAAAACTCCTGCTGAGATGAGACAGATATCTGAAACGTTTTTGACTTTTTTATTTGTACTTTCAATAGAGGAGCTAACGAATATTAATAACAACATCTTGGTTACTTTAAGATTTTAGACCTGGATGGCTAAATTGACTCAGTTACAGTCATTCTTGGCTTGGTATGCTTGTCATTAGTAAAAATTTCAGAGTGTAGCTTTCTGACTTTGTTTGGTGTTTAACTGAATAACAGCCTTAAGGATATTTTTTATATCTCAACAAAAATTTCCCACTTAAACACCTTCTGCTTCTGCCTTGGTCAGTCTTTGAGTTGGGTTTCAGAACTGAACAGAACTAGGAATTTTTTTTCCCCTTCCGAAATACCTAGACTCCGTTTAGTTCCCTATTCAGGTTTACCTCAAGTTTCGATTTGAATTGGTAAACCTGTGACCCAAATCCAAACTTCAGCTGAGTTAGTATCAGCTTCAAACCACATGAAACCGCTATGCGTCATATGACCTCTCACAGAAACCACAGGTGGTGGTACTGTTTTTTTCGCGAGAGTGTCTTATTGGGATTTTTGAAGCGTGAACACATTATCTAATATGTGTATTGTATTACTCATGTTCACCCAAGGTCAGTCATCGCTGGCAGGTTATTGTTGACATTTACTCATCGTAACGATACGATATGTTATTATCATTCTGAGTCTACCAGCTCAGAATGCAGTTCCAGGTTTTCGGTTTAGGGGTTTTATCAGTTATCTCTAAGGAACATGGAATCAGAATCACAACCACGCTTTAATGGACAATTCTTGGCTGTGTTGATAAGAAGTATTTCAGTGAAGGCAATGTTTTTGTACTATCCTAGAGTAGGAATGAAGATGATACGCAAATTGACCCAATGCTGTTTTCTTAGGGTGCATCCTTTGTTTTTTCTGGTTTTGGTCTTTTCATCATAGGATGGCATTAGCTCTGTGTCCGCAGGTGCTGTGCAGCCTGGGGGGCTGGGTTTCACTCTACATCTCTTTCTGCCGCCTGAATAAGCACCGAAGCTTTGAGTGGAGCTGCCGGCTGGTGACGTTCACCCATGGAATCCTCTCCATAGGCCTCTCAGCTTATATTGGCTTCATTGATGGCCCCTGGCCTTTTACCCACCCAGGTAGGTGGGAGACATTAGAGGATTTTTCCCTAAGGGGTTTATAATTTGGGGGGTAGTCTTGGAAGGATGGGACATTTTCACAGAATTTGTACAATATTGGAGAATATTGAAGAATAACTACCTTTATGATTTGTATTGGGAGTCTTCTTTAAAAAAAAAAAAAAAGATTTTATTTATTTATGTGACAGACAGAGATCACAAGTAGGCAGAGAGGCAGGTGGAGAGAGAGAGGGGAAGCAGGGTCCCTGCTGAGCAGAGAGCCTGATGTGGGGCTCGATGCCAGGACCCTGAGATCAGAGGCTTAACCGATTGAGCCACTCAGGCACCCCTTTGTTTATCCTCCTTAACTGTGATGTAATAATTTGTTATGCATATCCTATCATTTAATTGGTGTCTCATTATTTATAGCACCTATATTGATTTTTTTTTTAAGATTTTATTTATTTATTTGACAGAGAGAGAGAGATCACAAGTAGGCAGAGAGGCAGGCAGAGAGAGGAAGGGAAGCAGACTCCCCGCTGAGCAGAGAGCCTGATGCAGGGCTCGATCCCAGGACCCTGGGATCATGACCTGAGCCGAAGGCAGAGGCTTTAACCCACTGAGCCACCCAGGTGCCCCTATATTGATTTTTTTAAATTGCTAGATGTACAAGTATTACCTTCTTAGAATAAACAAGGTTGTATCCCCTTGAATTAGTTTTCTGGGGCCGCTGTCACAAAATGCCACCGACTGGGAAGCATAAACAACAGGAACTTATTTTTTCACAATTCTGCAGGCTAGAAGTCCAAGATCAAGTTGTTGGCTGGTTTGGTTTCTTCTGAGGCTTCTCTCTTTTGCCTGCAGGTGGCTCCCTTCTTGCCATGTCCTCACATGGTCTCCCCTTTTCATATGTCTGTGTCCTACTCTCCTCCTTTTATAAGGACATCAGCCATATTGGATAAGGGCCCATCCTAACAACCTCATTTTAATTTACCTCTTTAAAGGCCTTCTTTCCAAATACAGTCATATTGTGATGGGTTGGGCGTTAGGGCTTCAATATAAGAATCTGGGGTGTACAATTCAGGCCAGAAGTCCCCTAGGATATGATTTTTTTTTTTAATTCCTTAGATTCCTTTTTTTTATTTCCTTAAATTTCTATATTGAGCTTCTGAGGTTTTCCCAAAACTATTCCAACTGATATGAAAGCTGCTATTAAGCTGTATGTCTTATATGAATGTTTTAAAGAGATTTGAACATTGAGTCCTTGGACTCAATTTTCTTGGGCTAGGAAATACACTAACTCCTGGGGTTCTTTCCAAGGTCCACTTTCAAGAAGGGTAGGGCCACCAGTGCCCGGCAATCTAACCCATTAAGCTAAGAAATTAATCTGGCATCCAGGGCAGAATAACTAAAAGAGTCCGGAAACAGACCTTTAAAATTGGTTACATAAATAAATAAATACAATTTTAAAAAATAAAAAGAGAAAGAAACCGTAGGGTTTTAACTGAAAAGACAAAACAGCTCAATTTTATGCTGCTCTTTAGAGAGGACACTGAGATCATGCCTGGTGCTCAGATCACTCATTGAGATCCGATTCAACCCAACAGCATTTCCCGGGCCTGTGACATTATTGGGCTTGATAAAGACCAAAGTTTTAGTTTTTAGTCTTTTGTGGTTGTCACTCAGATGCATGTGCCTGCCTGGTTCAGGAAAGCTCGGGAAACATTGGACCCTGGTGCAAGGCATCAGGGTCCAGCCATTCAGTTTGCTTTTGTCTCGGTTTACTTCAGGCTCACCCAATACTCCTCTCCAAGTGCACGTTCTGTGTCTCACCTTGGGCTACTTCATCTTCGACTTGGGCTGGTGCATCTACTTCCAGTCCGAGGGGCCCCTGATGCTGGCTCACCACACGCTCAGTATCTTGGGCATCATCATGGCCCTGGTGCTCGGGGAGTCAGGCACAGAGGTCAACGCGGTCCTCTTTGGAAGTGAGATCACCAACCCCTTGTTGCAGATGCGCTGGTTTCTCCGAGAAACAGGACGCTACCACAGTTTCACTGGAGATGTGGTGGACTTCCTCTTCGTGGCCCTGTTCACCGGAGTGAGGATTGGTGTAGGAGCTCGCCTCCTTTTCTGCGAACTAGTCTCCCCCAAGCCCAGGTGGTTTGTGAAGGTTGGGGGAGTAGCGATGTACGCTGTGTCTTGGTGTTTCATGTTCAGCATCTGGCGCTTCGCGTGGAGGAAGAGCATCAAGAAATACCATGCCTGGAGAACCAGGCGGGGCGAGGAGCGACAGCTGAAGCAGAACGGCCATCTCAAAACGCACTAGCCATGACTTTGTCCAGACGGTGGGTTAGAGTTAGTCGGCTGCGGGACACAGGTCGGAGATACGGCTGTCACAGAACCATGCTTCCAGTGAAGTTAGGTTTCAAAAAAGGGCTAAACCTTATCAGTCAGTTTGGTCAGTCTTCAAATGGAGCCCATACCAGTATTAAAACACGAATTTCCACCATAGCGCGGTTGTAGAAAAGCGAAACTACGTGGTGGTAATTGTGAGTATGTCACTGTGAGATGAGCAATGCTGCATTCCTTTTAGTTCCTGGTGTCCCTGGGTCCTCTTGTCTCTGGGATGCCTGATGGCTAGACAGCTCAGGAGCGAATTTGAGAATTCCTTCGAGAATTGACTCCTTGAGCAAACTCTTATTCCTGCTTTCCATGTAGCAATTTTTTTTTAAGATTTTATTTATTTATTTGACAGAGACACAGCGAGAGAGGGAACACAAGCAGGGGGAGTGGGAGAGGGAGAAGCAGGCTTCCCACTGAGCAGGGAGCCCGATGTGGGACTTGATCCCAGGACCCCGGGATCATGACCTGAGCCGAAAGCAGACGCTTAATGCCTGAGCCACCCAGGCGCCCCTCTAGGTAGCAATTTTAAATGAAGTCACCCCATTTACTATAAAGGGAGGGACTTTCAGGAAGAAAATGTCTGACATTCTGAGTATCAGATCATGGAACTGGATATGTTTACACAAAGGGAAAGAGCAGAGAAAAGGATGGGGTGAAACTGGCCGTGGTGGTGGGTCACTTCTTGAGGACCCCCTATACCAACTGCTGAGGGTCCCCAAGACACCCCCAGGTTTAGTGCTTTGCTTGGAGGATTCCCATGACTCAGAATGTAGTCAAGCTCCTAGCTGTGATTAATTACAGTGAAAGGGTACAAAGAGAGCAGCAAAGGGAAAAGGTGCCTAGGGCGGAGTCCAAGGGAAACCAGGCCCAAGCTTCCAGAGCCCTCTCCAAAAGTAGGATCACCCAGAATGTGCTTAATTGCTCTAACAGCAGTTTGCGGCCATATGGGTAAAATATCCAACAAGGAAGCTCATTAGATGCTCAGTGCCCAAGTGTTTTATTGGGGGCCCTGCCTGGCATGGAGCAAAATTCCTGACTCTTAGCAGGAAGGTAGGTGTTCAGCATGCACCATATAGTTTGCACAAACAATTTAGGCACAGTGGGCCATTCTCAGCGGTTGGTGGAGGGGGTGCTCCTCCACCTCCTCCACCTCAACCTGGCAGTTCCCAGATGCCAGCCAAGGGCCAGCCTTGCAGGTGGGCCTTCGCAAGGACAGGAATTCAGGTCTGCCCTGTTAACTCTTTCCTGCATGAAAACCAGAGAGCTAGGGCTTTGGATGAGAGATGAATGAGATGTGGACAGATTTACCAAGTCCTGTTGTACGGGTTCTGCCCTACCAGGAAAACCATGCCAGTTCTTAGGGCTTTTGGGCATTAATCTCCCAGGCATGAGAGGCTGTGAGTGAATTCCATAGGGATTTACCATGTGGATTCCACAGTGTTTGAGATGGCAGTTCAAGTTTCAGCTCTGCTCTACATAGTGCAGACCAGAACCAAAGTCAAGTGTGCTGGCTGTAGGGTGATGAGGCTAATGTTTTAAATTTCATATACATTCCCTTTAGCTCTCTAAACTACCTTTTCTTTTCTTTCTTTTTTTTTTTTTTAAAGATATTTATCTATTTATTTGACAGAGAGAGGTAGAAAGGCAGGCAGAGAGAGAGGGCGGGGGGAGCAGGCTCCCTGCTGAGCAGAGATTTCCCCATGCACGGCTCGATCCCAGGACCCGAGGATCATCACCTGAGCCGAAGGCAGAAGCTTAACCCACTGAGCCACCTAGGCACCCCTTAACTACCTTTTCTTTTCGCTGAAAAAGGTGCCCTTCTCTGTGGATAAAATATGATAAGGGCTGTCTTGGAAGGGAACAAAATATTTCTTAGTCCAGTAGTCTCTAATCTCACCCAGGGAAAGCGAGAAATGTAAGCTTAGAACGAGAGGTTAGGAATCCGTACTTTCTGGGTTCTTTTAACTAATTTGGCTACTCACTTGCCACATTGATTGGGCAGGTCTCTGGTGTACTCTTTGTCTCGGTTTATACCCCGTTGTGAATGAATGAAATACCCCATTGTGTATTTCACAGCAACACTGTGGCATTTTATTAAGGGGTGTCTTTAATGTCGGACTTTTATGGAAAAAGAAATTAAGTATTATTTATTTATTGTTTATTTATTTATTTGATTAATGTATTATGTTATTTAGACCACTGGGGATTGGTATGCTCAGTTACTGAGCAAATGTGTGGGGCCACTGAAGGCTAAGCCTAGGTCAGTAGAAAGTCTCTACCCATTCTATGGTCCCTGGTAGTACTAACCTAATGAGTGGTCTTGAAAATGGATGTCAGTGGCCAGACATGGTGGAGCATTGGAACCGCATAAAGTCATCGTTGCTCTGGCAAAAGCAGCTTCCAAGGCATGTTAACAGTGGGTCTTTTAAAAGGACTGTCATCCGGTTAACGAGGTTTGCTGCACATGGAAATAATCTGACAGTAGCGTCTCCATCTCTTTTCTTCTGTGATCAGGATCCCCAGAAGGCTGGTGAGCTTCTTTCCAACAAAACTGTGGTCAAAGTTGGATGCTAGGGAATGCTGATTTTAGCAAAAGCCTAGTAAAAAAGAGTGGCTTGGCGCAGGAGCTTAAAAAAAGAAAAAGCTGGCTCTTGAATTTTGGCACAGTGCAACCTGTTCCATACCAGACAAATGAATAGGCTTAATCTGGTACCATTTTTTTTTTTTTCTTTTTACTCCTTAGAAGTGAAGGGATTGCAGATCTTGCTGTTTTAGGGGTACTCTCATGGGAATGTACGTAGGTGTCTTTTGGAATTTGAATAACCGAAATAATAAGAGAAGAAAAATTGTTCATTTCAGCTTTTCTTGATGTTTTAACTAATAACTATGAAGGAAACTCCCTGAGAGAAGAATGGGACATGAAGGTGAGTCAGCAGTTAAGATGCCGGGTTTCTATGTCACAGGTAAAGGAAGGGCTAATTAACGTGTGATATGGTCCAACAAAATGAAGTATTTTACTCATTTGCCTTTGGATTACTATGTAATAATTCCTAACACTGCTCAAGAAAGATTTATATTTCAATGAGATTTGTACTAAATTTTATAAAAATAAACTTTTTATCAACCCAAGTCTGCCTTTACATCTTTATTGTGGTTTTGCCAAGAAGTAAAACAAAAAGAATTCTTCTGGCTTATAGAAATGTTGACCCATATTTATACTTACCTGTGAAATACCTCTTATCTGCTCTTACCACCAACCATTCCTAATAACTGTTTACTTTTGGGGGCAACAATCTACATACAGGGAAAAAATTGCCAGAGAGAGGAAGAATTAAATTTCTTTATTTTGCCACCTGTTTGGGTAGTTGCCTTGAATTATTTATTATATTTCTCTCTCCCAGGGGTAGAGGGAGAGAGAATCTCAGGTGGATTCCCTACTGAGCATAGAGCCTGGCAGCCTGTGGGCTCAGTCCCACAACCCTGAGGTCATGACCTGAGCCAAAACCAAGAGTTGGATGCTTAGGCACTGTGAGCATTGCCTTGAAAATGATGATGTTGAATAGGCTTCATGAAGACAAGGTCCTCAGCTCTCTCAGAACTGTGTTTAGAATGCCTAGAACAGTGTTAGACATACAGTAGGTGCTCAATTAATGTTGAAAGAACGGATGAAGATATGGTTTGGAATAACCACCCTGCCCCCCCCCCACCCTCTGAGAGGGGGTAACCTCAAAGCATGCACCATGGATTGTGTCACGTGTCATTTTTTTTTAGGTTAAGCGACTAATGACCGTGGGCACTGTGTTCTCCCTAGATTGGTGTGACTCTCCTGAAGGCATTCTTTACATATAGCCTTTATGAGTCTAGAGCTACCAAGAGCTCTAAAGAGACTTTCAGGGATGTTTTTACTCTTAAAGAGATTTTCATCATTGAAAAAAATAGTTCTGGAATGAATAACCACTGGCTTAATTAAATCCTTTGCTTACCATCTTCTGAAGCTTTCCCACAGCAAATGCCTTCTTTGCTCACAGCTAGAACTTTGGGTCTGTTTAAGTTTGGAAAGATCTTGAAAGCAGCCTGCCAAGAGGTTTTGTATGCAAGGAAGAGAAGGTGAATTAGGAAATTTTCCCAGTTTGTTTTATTCCTGAAGCTCAAGTAGTGAGGCGTTCTTGAAGGGAAGAGGAGAACTCATTTTTAAAAGGCATGATTTGATGAATCATTGGGTCCAATTAATTTCATACCTACCCTGTAAATTATTAGAATCTGGCAAAAGGATTTAGTATGTTTAAGGAAGGTATACGTTCGGGGATAAAGTTTGCATTTTGGTCATTTTATGTGGCTGGATGGAGCTCTTTTCAGTTAATACGCAAAAAATACGCAATTTCAGTTCTCAGGGTAGAATTATGCTAGGGTACACCAGCAGGTGGCGATGTATCCTGGTCTGATCATTAGGAAAGTGGTTTGGAACGTTAATCTGCTGCTATTCTTTCCCAAAATAAACATTACAAAATTAGCTGGCTGTGCCCTGAACTTAAAAAAAAAAAAAAAAATCAAGCAATAAAGAGTCATCTTTGGCCTCTGTTTATCTTTTCCTTTTTTTACCCCGTTCTAACGTCAGCCTTAGCTCATGCATCTATTCAGGGATAGTGATCTTTTCTTGAACTGTTACAGGTTGACTTTTAGAAACAGCATTGTTCAGAGGTAACTTTCCCCTCTCCACAACCATTGTTTATTAAATTTGCTTTAACTCTTGATTTCCACAAAAATGCTGAGAACCCTCACCTACCAATACAGGTTTAAACCCATTAAGTCTGAAAACAGGTAAAGGGACAGCCACTTTGACATTGGCAGGCAGAACTGAACTTCTTGCATGCGGTACTTAAATTGCTACACTATGGAATTATGTAACCATAAAACTAGATTGATATCTAAACGTACCCGGTAGGAAAAAAGAAAAAAGAAAAAGAAAATATGGGAACTCTTCAGAGAACTGCTACTCTTCCTACTGGATAAATACACTTAACTTGCTGCTCCCATTTCTCCCCACAGCAAGCTTGTGAAGTCGCTGTGGAAAGCACCATGCTTTCTCCATTTGGAAATCATACATTTCATTTTGCCAAGGCAGAAGCAGACTCAAAGCAATATTATACCAAGAAATCCTGGCTCCAATTCCCAAACTCACTCCCCCGCCCCCCCCCCCCCCCCAGCCCCACACACCTCCCTCCTCTAACTTTCCCCGGCAGCCAGGACTGGTGCGCGGCGGCCCCTGCCCTGGGACGAGGCCAGCAGGTGCCCAGGTGAGCGTCTAAGGCCAAACCCTCCCTTTGCTA